TAATATACAAAATAAATTTCAATTCATTGTCAATTTCAAAAGATGATTTATCGTGAATGAGATATTTTTGAAATTGGAACGTGAATAACAAAAAAAATTATCTCAGATTTTTCCTGTCTGAAAATATAGTATAAAAGTATGAATATGTGATTAAATTTCCTACTTCTAAATGCCTTATAGTATTTATTTTTCTGACAGTAAAAGTTTCTGCAAGATACAAAAATTTAGTCAACTTATTTTTAAATTAGTTGTGATATTCGAAATCTGTATAAACATCGTTTATAAGGCTAGATTATAATATATAACGATTAAAATATAATAATTATCATATTTTAATGAATGCTATAGCATTCATGTCATTCCACATCACAATGAAAATGAATGCTAGCTAAAGCATTCACGTTCGCGAACGTGTTAAAACTGAAAATTGATTGAAAACTGAAGTTAAAAATTGATGAGAAAATTATAAAATCCGAAATTCGTATAAACATCATTTATAAGGCTAGATTATAATATAATTATCGTATTTTAATGAATGCTATAGCATGCATGTCATTCCGCATCACAATGAAAATGAATGCTAGCTAAAGCATTCACGTTCGCGAACGTGTTAAAAATAAAAATTGATTGAAAACTGAATTGAAAACTGAAGTTAAAAATTGATGAGAAAATTATAAAATCCGAAATTCGTATAAACATCATTTATAAGGCTAGATTATAATATAATTATCGTATTTTAATGAATGCTATAGCATGCATGTCATTCCGCATCACAATGAAAATGAATGCTAGCTAAAGCATTCACGTTCGCGAACGTGTTAAAAATAAAAATTGATTGAAAACTGAATTGAAAACTGAAGTTAAAAATTGATGAGAAAATTATAAAAACCGAAATTCGTATAAACATCGTTTATAAGGCTAGATTATAATAAAATAATTATCATATTTTAATGAATGCTATAGCATACATGTCATTCCGCATCACAATGAAAATGAATGCTAGCTAAAGCATTCACGTTCGCGAACGTGTTAAAAATAAAAATTGATTGAAAACTGAAGTTAAAAATTGATGAGAAAATTATAAAATCCGAAATTCGTATAAACATCGTTTATAAGGCTAGATTATAATATAATTATCGTATTTTAATGAATGCTATAGCATTCATGTCATTCCGCATCATAATGAAAATGAATGCTGGCTAAAGCATTCATGTTCGCGAACGTGTTAAAACTGAAAATTGATTGAAAACTGAATTGAAAACTGAATTGAAAACTGAAGTTAAAAATTGATGAGAAAATTATAAAACCCGAAATTCGTAAAAACATCATTTATAAGGCTGGTCAGACTAAATATAACGATTAAAATATAATTATCACATTTTAATGAATGCTATAACATTCACGTCATTCCGCATCACAATGAAAATGAATGCAAAAGCATCTACGTCCGCGAACGTGTTAAAAAATCAAAATTCAACTGAAGTTATAAATTGATGAGAAAATTATTTAAAAATGATCTAAAATCAAAAATATGTATGAAAAGATACGAAAATAAAATAACGTTAGAAAATTCTATCATAAAAAACTAGTAACTAAAAATAAAGGCATTGAACATTGAAAAATAAAAATATAAATAATAAAATAAAATTTAGTAATTAACAAGTGATGCTGATAACAGTAAAAAAAAATAAGTTTGCTATCTAAGTGAAGTCGTGAAATTCAACATATTAAAAAACAGTTTAATTTTCAGCAAGGATAAATTTTTATAATTTAATTTTTTTATTAAAAATCTAATTATTTCCAACCAATTTGATCATATTTATTCTTGACTTGAATTTCAAAACCAATCTTTAATCCAGAAGTAACATATATAGATAACTTAATCAACTTGAACGTTACTTTAAAAAAAAGTGCATATGAAGTAAACAGCCAATTTCTTTAATAGAAAAAGGCTTAACTAAAAACGAAGGAATTGGAAATGAAAAAATAAAAATGTAATAAAATTAAATTTAAC